TTGGCTCTCTGTGTGTGTGCGTGTGTGTGTGTGTGTGCCTATAAAGCTCTGACAAGAATTTGCAGCGATTTAGTCTTATTAAAAGCGGAGCCACGATCGGAAGTCCGGGAGTCCGTGGATCGCGTCCCAAACAAAATACTCGTAATTGTCACAACTTGACAGCAAAACCCTCCAATTTCCGGCTAGAAAGCAACTGAGTAAAAAAAATGTAGGTTCCTCTAGTTCAATTAAGTGAAACCGAAAATGTCATTTGAAATAATAATCTACATATACCATATATATATAAATTCCCCAACTTTTTGCTGTACGTGATTCTGGCAAAACGATCAATTAAAAAATGCAAATTGCATTCGTAAATTTCGAAATAAATGACAAGTGTATTTATATATATATATATATACATATTTGTTAACATGTGCAATTACAAACCTACTGAATTCACATTTCGCACATTTGTAATTCAGCTGTGATATCAACAAAAAATTAATTCTGGCTCTGGCATTAAATATTTTATTTTGTAGTTGCAATCTAATGGAAATCAGTGCAATGACTTTTTTTAACATTTTTATTAAGTGTGTGCATATTAACTAATTAATGTAAAACCGGTTTGTTGCCTCATATTTACTTCTCCTTAGAAATATAATTAATTGCAAATGTTTTGTTCATATTTAAATGTGATGCATTGAACTTATCACAATTTAATGGGAAAGAGAGAGTGAGAGAGACACAGAGAGAGAGAGAGAGAGAGAGAAAGGGGGGGAGAGAGAGACAGAGAGATAGAGAGAGAGAGGGGGGGAGAGAGTGACAGAGAGAGAGAGAGAGAGAGAGAGAGAGAAAGAGAGAGAGAGAAAGAGAGAGAGAGAGAGAGAGAGAGAGAGAGAAAGGGGGAGAGAGGGAGAGAGAGAGAGAGAGACAGAGAGAGAGAGAGAGAGAGACAGAGAGAGAGGGACCCGTTTGGAAGCTAAGCCCCAAAATGGGTTCAATTTTTGTTGTAACCCAATTTTACAGTAGGTTTTACGTATTGTTTCCGATAACGCTTTCCTATCGCATTCGTATCTTCCGGCGGAATAAAGTACGTTACTTTCGGGGAATAGATCAAATCTCTTTTCGGGCAGTGAGAAAAGTTAGTGTGGCCTAAGAGATGTATTTACGATAGAAGAAACAATTTCTTAGCCTAATAACCACAACTTAAATATTAGAATAAGAAAATATAAAATACAATTATATTCTTATAAAATATATATAACGCATAAATGGAGATAACTCAAAACCCATAAAGTATATATATTTTAGATCAGCATCAACAGACGAGTTTAGAGAGCCATGTCCGTCCGTCCGAGGTTTTCATGCAGGCATGATATATGTCGAAACTGGCCGGATCGGACTGATATATAATATAGCTGCCATAAGAACGATCGGTTGAAAAGTAGGTTCATGTATGGAAAATTATTTTGTTTATCAAGATATCTTACTCAAACATTGCCTTTATAAGTTTCCCTATGCTCCCAACATGTTATCAACATCGGACCACTATATCTTATTACTGCTATAGAAAAGATTGGCTATTATTGGGTTTTCAAAGATATTTTGATCAAATTCGGCATTTATGAGCTTCACTATGTTCACAAATCTGCAAAGCGAAAATGTCTAAAAGGGTATTAAATCTTCGGCGTTACGAAGATATCTTCTTCTCTAGTTATGCTTGGTTTTATGATTCATGTAATGTCTGCTAGACAGTTCATCTTTATGAATGTAAATGATGTTCTATCTACAGTGAAAGAAAATTTGCAGACTAAAGCGTTTCACAAAGCGCAGATAAGGTGCGTTTTGTTTGGCTCATATGATGATGGTGTCAATGCAAAGCATAACAACATTGGGAACAAAAGAGCTGTTGATAATAAATAATTAAAAAATCTTATCTATTTCGGGAATATCAAATAGAGGTAATACTCGAGGCATACAACAGCCATTAGCCACGTTAACCGGTTAAGAGCGGAAGATTGGGCCTGAAATGGATTCACAACATCGATTGGGCTATATGGAGCACTTAATTATGATAGTCACGCAATTTGACATGTTTCTTGAGCAGAGATAAACACTTCTCACAATCAATACAATACATCCGGACAGACTGTAGACCCACATAAACAGCGCACATAAACACATAAGTGGCTGGGACGGGTCTGTCGATCAATTGGTTGGCCATAAACCGTTCAGGGCTGATTGATATTCGAGTGGAGATTGCTTTTAATCAAACACCCGTAAGTGGAGTAATCAGCCATACGAGATCGGATCGGTCAACTATTCCATCTGTATTCCAAGTCAATCACAATACGCCGTCATAAAAAAACAAAGCCAAATATGTTAACTGGAAGTCGGGCGCTAACGATAAGCAAAACCTATTCCCAGTAACCGAAACCGAACCACGATTATGAACTCGTGGATTTTCTTATGAATAAATTGTAGTTGCCACAAAAGGGCGCGATTTCTTATCTGGCGAGAGTTCCATTGACTGCGCGATAAGCTGCCAACCGAGTGGCTACTTAACCAGAATAACTATTTTCCGATGTGCTGCCATCAATCATGGCAGCTCTTTTATTTGAGCTATAAACAATTGCCAATATATGGCATCTGATAAAATTATGAAAGGCCCTATAAAATGTCGTTCCACTCGTGCAATTGGCTACAAATTATGGCGCGGCTGTATATCATTCAAACTCTTTCGGAATTAAAGTGCTTTTATTGGGCTGCACGGCAAATCAATTAAGGCGAGCTTTATGCGTAAGAATTTCTCTTGACGTCAGCCTCAATTTACCCTGATGATAAGTCAATAAACTCGGATTGATCTGTGGTACAAAAAATCGAAAGAAAACCAAAACCAAAACAAAACAAACAATTTGCGTTTATTTAATTATTTCAAATTTCCAATTTCAAATTGGTAAATTATAATAAAAGTGATATTACTTTCGAGTTTTACTCAAAAATTCCTTAACAACACACGTATTAGGGAATTTTTTGACATTTTTTTTACAATCTGAGAACAATCGATGTGTGTAACCCGTACTCATCAAATTGTTAACAACATTTAGAACTAAAGGTTATAAGAAGAAGCTGTCATTTTGTTTGTCTATCCAGATAATAATATCTTAAATATTTAAGAAGGGTATTCGCTAGTCGAACACTCTAATATCTTTAATTTTATTATTAATAAAAATTCGGCAAATTAAAATAAAATTTAGCTTGTTTTTATTTATTTACTTTTAACAAAAGAATCAAAAAAAGTATTGGGTTCTCTTCAGGCTTAGAGACAGGGTATCTGCACGTTAATCACACTTCATGTTACGGCAGATTTGGGCTTAGAGATTTTGTGAGTTGGAACTGGAACTAGCAAAAAGAACTGAATACACACGCCTGTTAATAAGTTTTGTAATAGGCCGACTTTAAGTGGCAGGCGAAAGTCTTATCAATATTAATTGACACGAATTTCCTATGTTTTTATTTTTTTTTCCAATTTGAAGTATTTGTGTCTATGGCGAATATCTATATAAATAATATTAGTCTCGACTTGAAGTATTATTATCTATGCCGATTATCTGTGTTAACAATCAAATTTCTATATACCATACAGTCTGCTACTCAAAGGCGATTAGATTAACACGAAAGCGCATTGCTTAAGCTTTGTAAACGAAGCAAGAACGAAATAAAATAAAACAAAATAAAATATAATAAATAAATAAACAGCGCAAAAAGAGACACTGACCCACTGCAGAATCTTGAATGAATGCAAACCGATTGCTCGATGAATACTCATTCGCCCGAGCTTTGGAACGTGGCTTCCAGAGGGAAAACCAAAACAAACAAGTTGAGAATGCGGTAAACGGCTCGACTGAACTATACCCTATACGTATGGCATGGGTATCTGGGGTTATTAATACACATTTATTTGTTCTCACTGCGAAAAGTGATTGAAAACAGATTCAATTCAAGCCAATGGCCACAAGAAACAGCCGGGTCAATTAAGACTAAGAGAATAAGATAGGGTTTGGATGCACCTTCCTTAAAGAAATTATATATATATGTTTTCTAACCAGATATTTGTTAATTTTATACAAGCGAAAGTATGAATATAAAGACCTCAACCCGGCTATTAACCAAACCGATTCAAGTCAAGAACTCTAAAGATTTTCTTGCCTATGAAACGAACCTTAAGCAAAACCAGTTGCACATTAAAAACCTTAACTAATGGATTAGGAAAGTCTTTGATTGCAAATAAAAAAACTGAAAAACTTGGGCGCCAAATATTTGATTTATCTAAACATATTTGGTAAATGCCAATTTTGGGTTCAGATCCAATTTAGCCCTCGAGTTCCATATGAAAATATGTATGGCCAGCAATATTTTCAGTAGAAAGGGCACAATAAATGAAAGATAAATTTTATAACTAACATTTAAAAAAATAAATAGAAACTGGGTTAAAGCAGGTTGAGCATGATGAGGAAGACAAAGGAATCAAAATAATAACCTGAAGATATAAATTCAAAAATAAATCAAATTGATGTATAAAACATTTCAAACTGAAGTTGTATTCTGCTCTTATTTAAATTCGGATAATGGGGAAATTTATATATATTTATGATATATCTCCTTTGCTGTAAAAACTGTACCATTTTCTCTCTCAAGTTTTCGTAGAGCCTAGGAGCTAGGCAAGACTCTGTGTGTGTTATACCCGCAACCAAATAATAATTTGTATAGGGTATGGCAAACAATATTTATGGCTTGGGAACTCTGAACAGCGTCCGTTAAAGTGTGGCCGGCAGTTGACCTGTCGCTAACTAAGCTTGAAAATTTGCTTATTGCCAAATGGGCAGCCGAGTTGGCGAATGGGCAAAATGGGTAGTCGGTGCTGTTTATTGGCAAACATGTCACGTAGAACGATTTTGCGTTTCGGTGCCAATGCGACGCGCTATTTTCTTCATTTTTTTTTTTTGTCTCGTGGTATGCCACCTCTGGCAAGGTCAGGCATTGGCAGCCAAGTGTCGCGATTTATAGACGAGCTCTCATTTAAGTCGCAGGCAAATTTACCCAGCGTACACACTCAAATTAGCCGAAGGTATTATGTAAGCCGGACACATTCCCCCCACCAAAAGCAAGAAGAAAGGAAATTTAAATATACATTTTTGTTGGCCTGTGCCATTTGCACGTGATCGACGCCATTGTGAGTTATTTGATATCGAAATAAGTATTATTCGAAAAGCCTACAAATGACAACGGCATGCTAATTAAAAAGCTTTGTTCGCCATTCTCCAGAGCCGGAGCACGTGATGGCCCAGTAGAAATGTTGTCAACGCACTTGCCAGACAATCGTCAATTAGAACCGAGTCGTAAGTCGACAGTGGTTCGAATCGCTTGAAATAGTTCAAGAACGCCACTTTGTGTAAAACAACCGGCATGCTTTAATCGAAAAATGCCTTTGTTACATATAGATTCCATAGTTTAACAGTTTCTGTAAGCGTGTCATAAAAATATAAAGATATATTTCATCTGGACAGCTACTAGAATACTTATTGGCTAAAGGCGGGCTGAAATAACTAGGCACTTTATTTGACTAATTTACTTAAGTTCCGAACAGTTCCGTAAAGCGCAATTACTTGCACTTTTTATAGGCTTTTATAATTTTAGTTTTTTGTAGGGTCTATTTTTGAGGTAAATGGAATTATAGAGAGAGTTAAGTTGATATTTTGAATGGAGCTTTCTTAAGCATAATTTGCGGTTGTACCACGAAGCTTTAAAAGCACATTAAAGCGTTCACGAGGTTGCAAGGATAAGAAGAACGGACTTCAAACATTCAAATAAATACCAAATCGGAAGTATTTGCAAAGCACATAAAAGCTTTCAAAAGCTACTAAAAGCTGAAAAAACTATACATATATTTATTTAATTACTGATTCTTTTGAGGGTTTTTTTAACTCTTTTTGTTGTTAAGCTCTCTGTGGCTAAATATTAAGTCAAATATTCTGAGTAAAAGATCTTGGAACTGATTTATATTTATGTAAAGGGTATTTCATAGCTGAGTTCTTCAAGCCAAAAGCTCGGGAAGACTAAATGCGATTCCTTTGCGGGGGCATCGCATACAGAGCACGACTGTTGTCCCAGAGCAAACGAATGGAACTCACAATCAGTTGTGATCATAAATATTGTCGGTATCAATTTTTGCGAATTACTCATATCAACGTCCAATAGCGTTAATTACAGGTGAAAATTGAAAACATTGAACGTGTCTGGCCAATTATGCAGATTTGATTGCAAATAGACATTGATTGCTTTTGTGATATATGTATGTACAGAATAATATGGACATATTTATATTTAGTAGCTTTATTAGAGCGTGAATAAAATAAACAAGATGCTTATTACGAACCTGAAGTGATTAATTAGCAGGCGCATATAATTGAAAGCGCATACAAAAAATGGGAAAAAACTAGGTGAAGGAACAAACTTTGGGTATTTATATTACTATATCTGGGCTTTATGAGAAAAAAAACTTTTAAATAGCATTTGGTTGGGCTAAGAAATTAATAATACTTAGTGTATCTTTGTATTCGAATATAATAATATACCATCTTGAGCTGATACCAAATAAACTCCTAACTAAAGATCAAAATGCTAAAAGCGTCGGAATAGGAGGCTTCTTTTAAAAATATCGCAATTCTTCTAAGAGCTAGGGTATTTAATCTTCGGCAGAGCAAAGCTTCTTTTTTCGTTCGGACTCGAGTAAAAAGTAAAAGTATTTAGCTACTTTTCTGTTAAGCCAGGCAAAAAAAAAAAGCTTTTGCCTTTCATCGTTGGGCGGCGTTTCAGTTAGTTTTTATGCAAGGCAAGTAATTGAGTATCTTTAACCGAGTTCAGCTAAGTGCACGTGTATATTAGTGACTCATGAAAAGTCCATAAATCAGACCCTCATTTGGCATAACCATTGCATAGTTAAATTTGATGACGAATCTGTGATTTAGTTGCAAAACTTTCGATAGTTGCATATACATATAAAATAAATCGTAATATAAAAGCCTGCGCCTTACTCAACCTTTTGTGACTTTTACAAAGCATTTGATGCATGTTCTTTATAGGCAAGTTCTACTGTTGCTTCGCCATAAATTGGCAATTTATGTCGACGCAAAATTGTTATTTTTTTTTATGGATTTGTTGAGCTGCACTGGAATAATTTATCTAGTAACAGCTAAAAATAAACTTAATATATTATATATTTGAAAGAAAAAGTAGAGAGTGGAGCAAAAAATAGTATTGATTTTTGTCAAATGAATGCGCAGATCCATATTTAGCGAGAGTTTTGCCAGAACACAAAAAATCTCGGCCTAAAAAGCGCGTACTTTTGCTGATGAGTGACAATGAGTACTACTCAAAAAAGTACTCAGAAGGTTGTTGAGCTTATGTTTTTAAACAAAAATCTATAACAAAAATGTAGTTGAAATATTATTATTATTATTTATATACTCAAAAATATTGCCAAAAGGCGAAGATATAAATGAGATCGTAGGTTTTTTTCAATCCTTGACTTTTAGTCAACTTTCAGCATATATAGATACTTAACTTACAATATATTCTATTATAACCAACTAAAACTAGTTGCTGAATTAATTGAACTATGTAACTGGAGCTAATTGTTATTAATATTTTCTTGTTTAATTTATTTGCTTAATATATTGTAATAGGTGTTATGTATTTAAGGCCAAATATTTGCTTTAATCTTTAACCCTTTCACAAGTCTGTCTCGAATTCACACACACACACACAGACGGCTGGCCCTGCCCAACTCCCACAATGTGGCGATCTGAAACGCCAACGCCGCATGATAATGAATTTATTTCAGCGCTAAACGTTGAACGAGATAGTTGTAAAAATCGCGTAACGCTTGGGCGAAATAAGACAAAAAAAAACAAACTGAATTTAGTTTCGGGTTCTATAAATCTCTATATATCAACTGATAAACGGGCGCATCTTTTTAGCGCAGACGAAGATGACGGCCAACGGGGAGCCCGGCGCCAGCAGCGATGAGAACAGCCTGACGACACTGCCCATACCGGATATACGCACCTCGCCCATGCCCAACGGCAATGGCAGCCACAAGACCACAATCGCCATCGAGAGCCAGCCAAGGCGTCGAGTTAGCATCATATCCGATCCGCCGACTATCGCCGCCGGCGCCAGTGCCGCCGGCTATGACAATCCCGCGTTCGAGCAGAATCCCAGGCGCAAAATATCGCAGGTGAGTCGTCAACGTGCTTGTCATCGACTGCGGCTGTCGTCAATGGTGCAGTTGGCGCCGATTGCGATTGCGATCCAACGCTGGCTAATGGGCTCGTAAATTTTGGATTTGTGTGTTATTTACGAGCTGGCCATAAACATGGGAATCGACTGTCGTAGCACAAAACCCCTATATTGATAATTTCTTGGCCAAAGCGCGATATGGGCGCACAGATAATCGTCTGGGATTTCAGAACAAGCAATAAATGTCTAATCTTTTCAACATTGTTTTTTGTTTTTGTTTTCCAATTCAATTAGACTTCGACACATTCGCACAGCGAAATCGGACCATCCCGAAGAAGGAGTATACTGAAAGAAACATCGCTGCATAATAATGATAATGAAAGCGATCTCGGATCAACGCACAGCTATGGTAAGTTAAGATCGGCTATCAAGACAAAGTTTATACAGACCATATAGTAGTCCGATTAGATATGGCTTTGCAGATAATTGTTTGGCAAATATTGCAACTTAATTGCAAGTTTGTCTTTACAAAATGTTAATCGACAGAGCTTGTAATAGATCTCATTATATATTTGTCCAATTGAACAGATTTAGCTTGACAAATATGTCATGAAATTCAAATAAGCATTTTATACAGAAGATTAGATTTTATGACCCCATTTGCCTTTGCCTCCCACAGAAAGAGAGAATAATTTAAATAGAGAATAGAGAGAATGCATTATATATTCTGACAAACCTCACAGGAGTATAACACTAACATACATTGCGTATGCGCAATATAAGAAATTTTAAACATAAAATGAATATAGATATCAACTCGACTGTTGATACTGATCAAGAATATGTACGATTTATCAGGTCAAAGACGTCTTCTTTTATGAGTTGAATGTTCTGATAAAACGATAAAAATACGCTCCACAAGAGTATAACAAAAACCTATTGACATACATTGCGTATGCGCAATATTAGGAATTTTCCGTCTAAAGCGAGATTTTAGCAGGCGTCAATCGTTCGGTTTGTTGACTTGGGAGCATTCCAAAAAACATATCTGACGCTGCTTTCCCACATACATGTATATCATTGTATATAGGGTATATGCCAATTTCAAAGAAGGTACCGAAGGCCAACGCATGACGTTTGGCAAAAGCAAATACGTTTACGATAGGTTTCTATTTGAGCACTTGTGCTTCTATTGTCAATCTAATTTGCCATCGCACCGTTAACATTATCAATTAGCAGTCCGGAAAGTGATTTCCAATTTCCAGCTGCCATTCGAAACTTGAAAACACAGACAATCGAGCTTAGTACCAGTCGCCATACGGGGTATATAGAGCATGAATTCTTGATAAACCGCTTAAAACTCGAAAACTTTCAATATTAATCAAATAAAATGTGTCAGTTATCATGTGCGAATATCCATATGATAAGACAGTATAAGATGTAACATATCCCAAATATCATTAATATAGTAATATATATATAATATATCTTATGTATGTGATAAGATGTTGTTGAAGCCTTAACTTTTTGGGAATTATAATTATAATTTTAAGTTATAAGCGTCAGCTAATGATAAAAATAGAAACAGAGCAGACTAGAGACAGTTTCCTATGGGATCATTAAGTACTATGTCATTTAATCATATCATACCGAAATCGAGGGTATCTCTTAGTCAGTCAATTGCTCAAATAATTGCACGCTTGTTCTGATGATTGTATGTTCAGTCGCAGACACAATTAGAATCGAATGCTAAATGATGATATAATTTGTTTATAGACTCGTAATCAGAGTACACTCTTGTAGTTCTCGTGCACTCGGCATATTTCATATACCATATATCTTGTCAACCCATTGCAGAAAACTACAGGCAGAGTGCGTTGGATGTGCTGAATGGAAAGTACCAGGGGCATCAGCAGCAGGTGCCGAACTCGCAGGACGGCAATGGGGCAAATTATGTGGAGGACTCGTGGATCTACACCTTTTGCCTGAAATGCCGCGGCGAGGAGCCGAGCGAGTCATGGGAGCCGCCCTTCTGGCAAAAGATCTTTCCCTATCCGCTGTGCCCCACCTTCAGGACATTCTCTCGTCTCATTGTTCTTATTCTGATTGGTGAGTCAGCATATTATCCAATCAATCTCTCTCTCTCAACGGATATGTGCTTCTCCTGCAGGTCTGCTACTTTGGATTGTGGCATTTGTGATTATCGGGGACACAGCTGCGCCGGGCGGTCAACTGTTTAGCCTGGTGGTGCTCACCGTGGCCGCCAATTTCGGTGGCTATCTGATATCGCTGACAACCCTGCCACGTCTGATTGGCATGCTGCTAGTGGGCATACTCTTCCAGGTGAGTCGCGAGTCTCCACTGCCAATATTTAGATCAATTTCTTATGACTTTCCTGCTGCTTCCAGAACGTAGGCTGGGTGGATCTCGACGGCGACTTCTCGAAAGTGACGGCGCATCTTCGCAAGTTCGCTTTAACCATAATCCTGACTCGAGCTGGCCTCGAAATGGAACCGGAAGCTTTCAAGAAGGTGTACAAGACCATTCTCAAGCTGGGCATTGTGCCCTGGTTTGTGGAGGCCGCCATCATGACGGTCATGTCACATTTTCTGCTCGACTTGCCCTGGATCTGGGGCTGCATGCTGGGCGCCATCATTGCCGCCATCTCGCCAGCCGTCGTCGTGCCCTGCCTGTTCCGGCTGCGCACCAAGGGCTATGGCGTGGTCAAGGGCATACCCACGCTTGTGGTTGCCGTCGCCGGCGTTGACGACGCTCTCTCTGTGGCCATCTTTGGCATTGTCAGCACAATTATGTTCTCGGACAAGGGACTGGGCTATCAGATTGCCCAGGCGCCGGTCTGCATACTGGGCGGCCTGGCCTTTGGCGTTATCTGGGGCTCGTTGGCGCGCATCTTTCCGGAGAAGGGCGATGCTTATGTGGTGCCGCTGCGCACGCTAATGCTCTTCGCCGGCAACCTGGTGGCCATCTATGGCAGCGAGGAGCTAGGCTTCGAAGGCGCCGGGCCCTTGGCCGTCGTCTTCTCATCCTTCGTATCGAATCTGTTCTGGTGCAAGGACGGCTGGGAGGTCGATGATAATCCGGTATCGACTGCGTTCGAGATCTTCTGGATGATCTTTGAGCCGATTCTCTTCGGGTTGACCGGCGCCACAATCAAGATCAGCGAGCTGGACTCGCACACAGTCTCCATTGGAGCGGCCTGCATCTTTACGGGCGTCATCATACGCATCTTTGTCACAGCTGGCATTGCCTTTGGCGATCGCCTGAACACCAAAGAGAAGTTCTTTGTCGGCCTCTCCTGGATGGCCAAGGCAACGGTACAGGCTGCTCTGGGGCCCGTGGCCCTAAAGAATCTGGGCAACGATGCCACAGACGAGGAACGCAAATGGGCTGAAATTGTGCAGACCATTTGCGTCTTCAGCATCGTGCTGACAGCTCCACTGGGCGCCATTCTGATATCCGTGACCGGCACTAGAATGCTGACCAAGACGAAGCAGCCCCAGGATCTGACCGGCTGGCGTCGCAGTCATCGTCCCTCTATACGCGACATAAGCATCATCGACGAGGAGGAGGAGCGCGAGGATCCCGAGTTGCCCAGAGACAAGCAAACGGACGACAATACGCAGAGTAATGCACATTTAACAAATCTATCATATACCGCAAATAAGTAAATTCCTATCTGCGTACTTTGCGTCCTGCTCCAGTTTTTTGTTGGACTAAAATATAATGTTGATTGTTATTATACAGTATTTAGCATAGTGGAGTTGCATTCCAAATAAATAATAAGTTTTAATTGATTATATATTGTGTTTTATTATGGGTGAATGTCGCAAGAACTAGACAAATCGAAGCTGAGCTGACGTGAGATTAACTGAAGAACAAGAAGATTCAATTCTTCAAATCTTACATGAAAAGCCGTCTTTTACAATTCTAAATCCTATTCGGCCTTTTGGGCCGTCTCCTTTATTGGGCATTTCAATGTTTTGGGATTCGAACCTGAAACCTTTTATGCAGTGGGCTTAAGAAAAGGCACTTTCATTATTCGATTTGGATTTTTTAGCTGAGGTTCGTGTGCTCGCTGTAGCCCTTTTATAAGTCGACGGGCTGCCTTTCTTTGTTCATTTTCCATAGCATACTTTTTGGAGTAGGATCAAATGCCCTAAATTAATTCTAGAGTTTCTGACAAAGACTCTTCATTAAGTGCAGCAAACAATTTAATAAAATGTTATTCTTCTTAAATTTAAATTTGAAATTTAAAAAAAAATGGAATTAATAGCATAGCAATATAGCAAGAACTCTATATTATTAAGTTATGTGGCCTAATTTGAGCTAACATTTACTTTTGTCATTATTTTTAAGACATTTATATGGTATCAAAACTGGTTTGTTGCCAAGCGCCATGAATTTGTTGTTTAACAAAAACAATAATTAGATAAATAAAAAAATAGATGAAGCGTCTCTTTTAGAAGGCCGAAGGCTAAATACACTTTTAGACAGGTGAAGAGATATTTTGAAAACCTGATAAGATTTTCAAAGAAGAACTCATTTCTCTCATTTTCTCCTATACTTTGCATAGAGGTAGCTACATGAGATATTAGTCCGATGCAAATATATGTATATAAAAAGCATTAGTTGAAACCTAGTATTTACTGGCAGGATTGATCAGTGTATCTGGAAAAATATATGAGTTTTTAATGGAACTTTATGTTGATCAATCATTCAAATGTCAGCTAATTCAAAAAGTCGGACCCAGCTTGTTCCATGGACACATGTTCCGCATGCGACAGAAATACCAATCTATGAAAAGATTCGAGATGGTAGCCAAGAGAATAGTTAGCGAAGCAAGATGGAAAGAGTGACATGGATATATCGACGCGGCAGTTGATACTAATCAAGCATAGACAAATCCTCTATGCAGCTGGACGACGTCTTCTTCTATGCGTTACACAATTCGTGATAAAATAATAATGTCCAAACGATAAAAGTTAAATATAGATATACTTAATTGAACATCAAAACAAGAGTCAAGCAAAATATTTTTCTTTGATTGAGAGATTTGATGATTCATTTGTTTTCAATTTAAAAGAATATTGTTGACGTGACAGTTTACACGTAGTTATTTTACATATTGCTGTGATAAATTCATAAATTTGGAAAAGTGTTCCATTCATTTTAATTATTTCACAAACAGGCTTTAAATGTCGAAGAAATTAACAAATTCCACACGTAAAGCGAATTCATGCGAATTTATCAGCTATAAATATTACATACCATTTTTCTTTTTTTCTAGTCAACTTTAAACTCCTTTCGGTTATTATTATTTAAAATTCATGTAATTACTTGAAATTGTTAATAGTTTTTGTTTTATTTTTTTGGGCATTGCACATGAGCTTTTAATCTGGGCTGGCATTGCGCGCGCGATAAATAATAAAATTGTATAATTAACGATTTAAATGACAGCGCGCAAAAAAAGTGCTCGACTAGTCCACACATGAGGCGAGTTGCTTTGTTGGATTTAATCTAACAAACCGCATGACTTGATGCCAAATTCTGGACACAAAAAACAGCCCGAAAAGGCGGGTGTGGTCAACTTAGAGATACTCTACAAACTGTTCTTATATACGTATAGAAATACATGTAAATATATAAAGCCTGAAAGCATTTGAATTGTTTACTTTTTTGTATTATTTTGTACATTGTTTTACAATACTCTGGCAAATAGCATGCGTTACTTTTTGGGCAAAATACATACGTTTCGCCTCTATCTTTATTTTCAACCTTTAACCTTTATCTCCCACAGCAATAATTTGTTGTTAACGTAATAGTTATTAAATAAACGCAATGCTTAGATTTATCTTTTGCTTAAAAGGGAAAGCTGAGTTCACATATTCAAAGTTTTACTCCCAAGACTTTGCTGTTTTTTAGTTGAATTTGATATTTGATTGTGATTTATATTTGCCTGAACACATTTGTATATAAAAAAGAAGAAGCAGAGCCAAGTTGCCATAGGTAAAGTAAAATAATTTCTTACTTTGCTGATATTTACAAGAATTACTCTTCTTTCTCCCAGAAAGTCTGATAAATAAAACCCGACAATCGGAAACGCGTGAAAGAGGCGATAAATGTGGCATTAATGGCAATATTCAATACTTAATATAATAAAATAATATAATCTGCTTATAGATTTTCTAACTAGCTGGGCTTAATTTACTAAAATACAATTTGATTTAATATATTAAAAGCAGATCGTCAAAATCATCATATATAGGTCTTACCCAAATGAATAGCTAGTTGTTAATCAAATTCTGCTCCGAATAGTAGCTATAAAATTACGTTGGCATGTTTTCAATATATTTATTTGATGCCATTGAAGTTCTCATTCTTTGTTAATAGCGTACTTTTGCGTAACCTAATCGCATCGATTTTATGTTAGCGATTCGCATTGTGCGAGGTATAACAAAAAGCCAGATTTAACAGACAAACAAATAGATTTAAAGGCTACACAAATAAAAGAGAGCGAGCAAAAAAAAAAAGGGGGAAAAATGCGATAGAGTAACAAATTTCATTAAATAATTAATTCAGCCTCGTTATTATGAGACGATTGTCTACGGGGCGCTCACGTGAATTTGTTTAGACAAAATGCGTCACAATTAAATGACAAACAAATCGATCAAAGCCGAAAACCGACAGCTGCTCGACGAGCTTGACATAAACCAAGCCGCGACCATGCCCCGTTTTTTTTTTGGGTTTTGGGCGTCGACTAATTAAAGCTAATTATTGTCAAAAAAATGTTTAAGTTTTTTATGGCTAGCTGATATATTATTTTTGTAAAAGACAATAAATGTTTGCATTAAGCATTAAGACTTTTCACACATGCCACACGCACACACACACACACATACACACATGTACAGCTGGTGCCCATCGAACCCGCACCCCACCCAAAAGCTGAGCTCAGAGTCGAGCACAGCGCGCGCTGATGAATTTATTTGAACGCTAAACGCCGAACGGGCTAGTTGTGAGACCCGCGCAACGGATAAATTACGATAATCGAGCGCGAAGTGTGTGATGTATATCGTAAGCAGGCCATAAGCTCTATAGATCGAGTATTCGAACATCACCTAATCCTGCAGAGCGACAAGACGATGACGACCCATGCGGATCGCGGCGATGAGTCCGGCTCGGCAGCAACAGTGCCCAGCACAGACGCCACCACGCCGACAACCAGCATGCCAGGCAGCACGGCTAGACCCGCATCGCTGGCCATCAATGTGCCGGCGTTGCCCGGCAATGAGGCGCAGACACCGTCGCCCAATCACAGGAGCAGCATCGTCATCGAGAGCCAGCCGAAGCGGCGTGTCAGCATTGTCTCCGAGCCGCCGGCGCTGGGCTCCAACAACTCCGGCTATGATAATCCCGCCTTTGAACGCAAAATATCGCAGGTGAGTTACGGTCAAGTGATGTGACGGATCGATTAGAGCTGCGCGCCTGCTCCGGGTGATTACGATCGTTACTTTTCGTTTATGCCAGTCATATACTCGTAACACTCGCATATAATATACACACACGCGTGCACATCCATATAATAGATATTGGATGACGGCATTTTTAATGATGCTCGTAAATGTTGAAGTGATCGCCGTGATCAAGTGCCTAGGGATTTACGCGCACTGTTAACTAATCACAGCTCACAAAAAAACGAGAGATACAAAAACAAATTCAATTTTGGCACAGAGCTCAACACATTCACCCCTCGAGATCGGACCGCCCGGTCGCAGGAGAAGCATCCTCAAGGATACATTGGCCCACGACAATGACGGCGATCGTGTTTCGACAAATAGTTATGGTAAGTTAACGCCAGAATTTGTTTCAAAATGAAACATGTAAGAAAAAAACTACATATATAATAGATATAAAGACCAAAATTTGATTCGAAAAGAAAAATTTGAGAAACATAAAATTACTATAGTATTTAGAATTTGGGAATTGATTAAAAAGTTCCAAATTCTAGATTCCCAATTCGAGAACTGAAAGAGAAAATCTTAAATAGAATTTTTGGAATTTATTTTTTCAATAATAAACTAAAATTTTATTTTTCAACTGAACTAAGCTACATTCAATAAAAATTTAAATAAATATGCATAAAGATTTGTCTCCACTTTTGTTTAAATTTAAAAAAAAATGCAAAAAAATATTTAACAAATTTTCCTTTCAACTTCTCTTAGTGTAGCTTTATTCAGATTATCGGACGAATATTGTTATTGTGATGCAGCTATAAATTTTCATCTAATATTCGTTAGATAATTCAAATTGTTTAATTAAGCACTTGATTACTTTTTTGTGCATTTTTATTTAAATATGGATCTCATGTGTTTGTATGCAACGATTAGCTGTAAATTAGTTTATACAATCTACAGCAAGTGTTAAAACATATTTATAATTCGGGGGTTTTAAATATTGACACAGAATGTCATTAAAGCTTCAAAATGTGATTCATACTAATTTGAGTACATAATCTCGTCACATTAGTATTGCAGGTTTGTACTCAAGAGCAATATTGACTGATGTCTTAATTAGTTCGTTTTCCTCAACCTTACATATAAATGCGAAATCTCATAGGCAAAAAGTACAAGTAGTTAAGTGTAACCGACTGGTAGATACCCTGTGCTTAGCTTAACTGCCCATCTTTTCATTAGATCGGAGGTAATAACTCCTATAATCTTCGAGACATGCTCAAAAAGAGGGATTAAATATACTTAATTATAATTATCGAAATTTCAAAAAAAATCTTCTGTGGGACATAAGAGCCTATATGTTAAATTTATAGATCATATTACTAATGCGGACAAAAAAAAAAACAATATTTTAAAAACTTTCCACAAAAAAATATACTTAAAGCATTTTGGGTTGTTGCATTGGCAAAATAATCTAAAATGTTTAGAGAACTTTACGTGATACCAATTTAAAATATTAATTAGTCAAGAAAAAATTCAGTTTAACTTACACGCAGACTTGTTAATAGATATTTCTTGTGAAAAAAAAAGAACTTGGCCTACTTGACCTCACAGTCAACTTAAGAACATGTGATCGCAAAATTTAATAATTATTTCGAAAAAAAATATATATATATTCATATTATATTTGCGCAGCTGGAATTCGTAATTTAAGGAATTCCATAAATATGTTTATGTGCAGAATTATAGACAATAATATTGATAATAATAATAATGATAGCAATGATAATTACAAAGGCCTATCGAGGGCCTCAGAGCTCAGACCTAAGAATGTCAGTTAGCAAAAGCAAATGAAATCTTGAACGAATGTCAATTGAATTCGATATCATAAAGTTGGCATTAACAATTAACGTGCCGCCGGAAAATGACGTTTCGATTTCGTCTCTAGACATGCAGATGCCACACTTAACACCCAATTAGTGCTAGATGTTAATTTGTTGCGTCTATATATCTAGTGGATACCCTTGATAATGTCTGTCTATTCATGCCGCAGAGAACTACAGACAGAGCGCGCTAGACGTGCTTAATGCCAAATACAATAGCCTGCAGGCAGGACAGGGATCTCCGGACAGCAATGGCAATTACGTGGCACAGTCATGGATATATAATTTCTGCTTGAAGTGCCGCAAGGAGGAGCCGAGCGAGTCATGGGAGCCGCCATTCTGGCAAAAGGTTTTCCCCTATCCGCTGTGCCCCACCTTCAGGACATTCTCCCGCCTGGTCTCGCTCATCTGCATTGGTAAGCTTCACATTCCGATTGTTCCAATATATATTTATACCAATTAACACCAGGTGCGCTGCTTTGGATCGTCTCGTTTGTGATCATTGGACACTCGGCTGCGCCGGGTGGGCAGCTTTTCGATTTGGTTGTGCTCACAGTGGCTGCAAATTTCGGCGGCTATCTCATGTCCTTGGCCACCCTGCCACGCCTCATTGGCATGCTGCTGGTGGGCCTATTGTTTCAGGTGAGTTACGCTTTGAGTGTTCGTGTTTTGGCTGCCTTATGTTATCTGTTTTTTTGTTGATAGAACGTTGGCTGGGTGGATCTCGACGGCGACTTCTCCAAGGTGACCGCCCATTTGCGCAAATTCGCGCTCACCATAATTCTGACTCGAGCTGGCCTCGAAATGGATCCGCAAGCCTTCAAGAAGGTGTACAAAACGATACTCAAGCTGGGCATTGTGCCCTGGTTTGTGGAATTCGGTGTTCTGGCGGTTATGTCCCACTTTCTGCTCGGCCTCCCGTGGATCTGGGGCTGTCTCATGGGCGCCATTATGGCAGCCATTGCACCAGCCGTCGTCGTGCCCTGCCTGTTCCGGCTGCGCACCAAGGGCTACGGCGTGGCCAAGGGCATACCCACGCTTGTGGTCGCCGTGTCTGGCGTGGACGATGCCATCTCGGTGGCAATTTTCGGCATCATCAGCACGATCATGTTCTCGGACCGTGGCCAGCTCTATCTGATTGCCCAGGTGCCGGTCTGTCTGATTGCCGGCCTGGGCTTCGGCCTCATCTGGGGCCTGTTGGCCCGCATCTTTCCGGAGAAGGGCGACGCCTATGTGGTGCCGCTGCGCACGCTGCTGCTGTTCATCGGCAACCTGGTGGCCATCTATGGCAGCGATAAGCTGGGCTTTGAGGGCGCCGGTCCTTTGGCCGTCGTCTTCTCGTCTTTCATATCCAATTACTTCTGGTGCAAGGATGGCTGGACCATCGATGACAATCCGGTGGGCACTGGTTTCGAGATCTTCTGGATGATCTTTGAGCCCATTCTGTTCGGCGTGACGGGCGCCACGATCAAACTGCGCGAGCTTGATCCGAGCCTGCTTTACATTGGTGCCCTCTGCATTTTCACAGGCGTCATCATACGCATCCTGGTCACGGCTGCCATTGCCATTGGCGATCGCTTGAACATGCGCGAGAAGTTCTTTGTGGGCCTGTCCTGGATGGCCAAGGCAACGGTTCAGGCTGCTCTGGGACCTGTGGCTCTCAGGCATTTGGGCGCTGATGCCACAGACGAGGAGCGCAGCTGGGCCAAAACAGTTCAAACCATTTGCATTTTTAGCATATTGCTGACAGCTCCCTTGGGCGCGATCCTGATATCTGTGACTGGCCCCAGGATGCTGACAAAGACGAAACAGGCTCAGCAGAATCTCACTGGCTGGCGACGACCCTCCATACGCGACATCAGCATTATCGACGAGGAGGAGGAGCGCGAGGATCCCGAGCTGCCGCAGGACAAGCAGACCCAGGATAATACCCAAAGCAATTCACAATTTCCAAACTTTTCATACACTTCATACAACAAGTAGTTGGGAGACAAACTTAACGCAGGCGCCAATTACTCTTAAGCCCAACGAATTATTAATACATTTTTTCTTTGTAAAATAAAAGCCAAAAATAAAAAATTAAAAACAAAACACCTGGTTCGGTTACAATGTGAACTAAACCTCGTTTTCCACATCCTTTTTTAAGTTTTGGTTCAAGTCGGTTTAAATATTCCCATGAACCGATTGAAATTCCTGACTCGAACCGGTCGTATTCAAAACAGCCTTTCAGTCTGGAGATTTATAACCTTTTGCCGCATTCCTTCGATAAATATTAATTCTTGATCTAGGCTTGTAGTTTACAAGAGCTGGAGACACGAAATTTGGTATGCAGATTCTCGATTTGCCTTCAACTAAGACACTCCAATGATAGAATATGTACGTAGGAAATAATTGAACTATCGCTTTTACAATTCCAAAAATTGTCCAAACATTGTCTGCCAATTGCCAGTTAGATTACAGGCAGGTAAAATATATGAGAGACAATAATTTAGATATCAATTTTCTTATAAATCATTTTCCCATCTCAGGCTTCAACCTGCTGCAATTGACTATAAATATATTTTATGGCCTATTGTTGAATATATATTTTTTATAGAGCTTTGCAGTAGCCGTCGCAGTCAGCTGTATTGGCTGTTAAGCTCGTTTACAATGACATCAGGGATCATTAAAGTGAGAGAGATAATTGTAAATGTAAAAACTTTACACGGTCAAAAATAAACAAAAAATAATACAAAAAAACTGACAATAAATCATTTATATATACTAGAATCATGTTCTAGTTAACTGCATTTGGTAGGCATTTCTCTTGATGATAAACTTTGCGTTTCAGTTTTAGTCTCCACTCATTTTCCGCTCGTGTGGATGGAATATTTAAAATAGATTTTGTTTAGTGATTGATTAACGGCTTATACTATATCTTAAAGAGGCTTTAAGCAAATTGGACTTCGCTCATTTAACCTGTCAATTCCATTTTCAAGCTTTGGCGATGGATTTTTCCGAAAGAGTGGAAATGCGTTGCAAATGGAATAGTACAAAGATGCGTTAAGGCTGATATATCAAATAAATTTGCAAATATAGTATGTATTATTATTTGTGTTTGAATAAAAATACAAATCGTAATGTTCACGAAAAGTTTTAAAAGATCTCAATTCTCTGTAGTACTTTGGATAAATCCTTTTAAAAATTCTTCTGTTTAAGTCAAGTTTTTATAGAACTTGCATAGTAAAAATCCATTATTTAGTCCATTTGCATGATGTGCTCGGAAATTTTAAGCGGCTAAATAAATCTTGAGTTGAAGAAGGTTTGACCTGAGCTTATAAATATTTTTGCACGGGTTCGCCGAGAATAGTTTCCAATTCCTGGACAGCACTGCGCGTGTTCTTCTCGACACGATCGTGCTCGTCCTCGAGCAGTTCGGCTATGAACGGCACCGTCTCCGGCAGCAGGGGGGCAAAGCTTTCGCTTAGCTTGCGGGCAATGGCCACGCTGGTGTTGAAGGCCAGGATGCGTACCTCGGGCGTGCTGGTGCGCGTCTTGAGCAGCACCTGGTTGTTGAGCTGCTTCCATAGCACATCGTTGGTGGCAGCAGCCAGCTGGGCAATGCAGTCGCTCAGATTTTGCTGCAGCTGCTCGCGATCGCCGGCCAGCACCAGGCTGTTCTCCAGCTGATCCACGAGCGGCGGCATCAGCGTGCGGAACCGATGATCGTTGACAAAGTCGCTGCTGCAGTGCAGGAATACATGATGCAATGTGCTGAGTATGGCCGACAGCAGTTCCGCAACATTCTCGACATCCACATCTTCGGCCAGCTCCTGACGCAATGTGTTGTGTTCCTGCAGCAGCCGTGCGGCATCCTCGATAAAATCGCCGGCGAAGAGCACGAACAGCGACTTGAGCGCCTCGGCAATGCGCTTGGTCAGCAGGAAGTAGGTAAGCTGCGGTTCCAGATCCTTGCGCTCCATGGCCCACTTGTGAACCCTACCAAACATGGGCCGGAAGCTCGTCTCGGACAGCTTAAGTATCCAGGCCACAAAAGTCTCAATCACGGATGACTCAATATCCGTCATGCGCTGCCGCTGCAGCTGACGTCCGCGCACCTGCAGCCGGAATTCAAGCGCCTGAAGGAAGAGCTCAGAAAGCGGTTCCTGCACGGCCTGTAGGTCGGCATTTCCATTGTGCTTAATGCAGGGCAGCAGAAGCTGGCGCATAAGCATGCCCAGCTCGTCGTAGGCCTGCGCCTCCAACAGACTTTCGTAGGTCTTGGCACAGCTGGGCACCAAAATGCGAGCCTCAACGCCCTGCGCCACCGCCGTCCACACGTCCACAATGCGCAGCTTGAGTGCCTGGGTGCGCTTGTCCAGCGCCAGCTGTGCACTCTCCAGCTGCACCGAGAGTCTTATGAGCGCGCCGATAATATCCACCAGATAGGGTCCCAGGAAGAGCGGCAGTGTGATGAATAGCTTGTGCATGGCTTTAAGTAAAAGGCAGGATGAATTCCACGTTAATATTGGGCAAGAATAACTGAGACAAATCCGAATCCTACATGCTTTTCTAGTGATGCAGTGTTATAATGGATTCCTTTTATTTATGAATGATATTGTTAAAGTGTGTAGATTAGATTCTTCCTCCTTTTGCTCCAAAGCGCTTGACTCTGTCTTAAAGAGTTGAACATTTCCAAATTTTGGGGATATGTTGGGAGATATTCCAAAAAAGTGAAAAATTATTTATCTGTGCATACTGCACAAGAACCTTCATACATTATTTACGGTAAATGGTTCTTGAATTCCTCGAGGCTTGCTTTAAAATCCTTGTCTAAAAATCGATATTTATGAATTTTGTGCGAATAGGAGGATATCCAAAACTAAAGCTCGTTCTTGTAAAATGTCCAATTTCTAGATTTTATAGTTCTCTCGAAAGACAGCCAGACCTGGCTAGATCGACGCAGCTCGTCGACTTGATCAACAACTTATTACTTTATGGGACGGGAAATGCTTCCTTTCGTTTGCGCACAAACAATCCTCAATTTTTACCAAGCTAGAGATTGATATAGACTATAAAACTCACCTGTAACCAGAGCGGAGCAGACATAGTCGGGCGCTTGTCGTTGGGTTAGCAGCAGCTGCACCTGTTCCTTGAGCAATTCGGTTAGCTGTGGCGCAAACTTGGGCAGCTGGGCCAGAGCGTGCGCCTTGATGCTGCCGCAGATCTCGACGAGGGTGAGCACCACATTGCCGACGACAGCCTTGGGCACATTGGCGCGTCGCTTGGTGATGCGCGTCAGTTTGGCCAGCAGTGTGCGACACTCCTCGACATAGTCGCGTCCATGGCGATGGGCCAGCAGCTGCATGGCGTGCAGGGCCGTCTGCTGCAGCTGCGCCTGCTGAGCATTGCTGCCGCCCGTGGTGTCCAGCACGCCGTCAATGATGGCGCCCAGCGGCTCGAAGAGCACACCAAAGTGCGCCGCCTGGGACTGGGCAAAGTAATCGCTGGGTGGCGTCAACTTGGTGACCAGCAGCTCGAGCACCTTGATGCGCACATAGATCAGCTCGTGCTGCAGCAGCTTCGTGATCACATTGAGGAAATACTCGGGCGAAAGCAGCCCAATGGCATTGTCCAGTACATCGTGCACATGATTTGCCAGCACGCGCCAATATTTCTCCAGCGAGGGCGATGACGAGCCCGTCGCCAGTTGCAGAGCATTATTGACCACGCTCACATAGGCAAGTGTCTTGAGTATAAAGTTTTGATAAAGGGGCCGCAGCCGCTCAAGCTGCTGCGTCCTGGGACTGCCCAGTTTGGTCTGGAACTCGACGGCGCTGCTCAGCCCGGACAGATAGTCCATGATGAGATATTTATAGTGTCGCAGCTGCTTGAAGCTGCGCGTGCGCACATCGAACAGCTGCTGTTCGGGCGAGATGTTGTTGCCGGCTGCCGGGACTTGGCTTTGCGTCTCCTTGTTGATGGGCAGCTTGGCCAGGTAGTCGAGCAGCTGTATGCACGTGTCCAGTATGACCTCGGGCTGCTCGAACATCAGTGTCAGCTCTCGTGCAAACTCCACGCGCGACTTGTCCAAGGATTTGGTCTGCTTGCCCGACTGTGCGGGCGCCTGTTCCATCAGCATTTGCGACTCGAAAATGATGCACAGGAACTGCCACAGATGCTGGCGGGGATCGAGCACGCGGAAGAGCGTGTCGTAGAGCGGCAGGCGACGATGCACCGGCACATCCGTGCATATATCCGCAAACACCTTCAGCACGGCAATGACAAGGCGCTCGCGCTGTGCGCCAGACTGCAGCAGGAGCGTGGGCACAATGGTCTCCACCACGTTCTTGATAATGTGCAGACTGAAGGCATCGTCGTGGCGAGCCACCGTGGAGCCCACGAACGTAAAGATCTCGACAATCTTGTGCAGCACCTGCTGCGGATACAGGGCGGCGCAGCGCGTAAGGAAGAGCAGCGCATGCTGCTGCGTCTGCGGATTTTGTGTGTTGCGCAGACACTGGACCACCTGCTCGATGCGGAAACAGGATTCGGGCAGCACCTTGGACAGTTGCACGCCCGCCGCCTGCGACACCTCGCAGCAGTGCAGCAGGCCGGATAGGATTAGTTGTTTGGGATATTCGGCAGCGCTGTGCTCCTCCAGCTGCAGGCACAGCTGCAGCAGCTCAAAGAGCGAGGGTATCAGCTGCTCGGCGCCCACCAGCTGCTTCTTGTGTTCCAGCAGCTCGAGCAGCGTCATGCCCTGCTTCCAGGTCACACATGTCAGATCCAGTTTGGTATTTGGCGCGCCACGGCGTCGCTCCGGCTGCTTGACCGGGATGATGCGCGTGCTCTTGCTGCACATGCTGGCCAGCATGCCAACCAGGGGCTGGCACTCGATGCTGCAGCGCTTGAGCAGGCGATGGGCTGCCAGGAAGATGCTATCGTTGTCGGATGCAGTGGCCGCCTCCACAATAAGCTGCAGCAGCTTCACCTTATGCTGGCTCTGAAGCTGCTCGTAGGTCTCTGGCGTCAGCGAGTTGAGTAGCACGCAGGGCAGCGGCTGCAGCTTTTGCTCCAGCTGCACATAAGTCGTGTGCTGCTTAAAGCTCGCCTCCAGCAGCTGCCAGGCGGCGGGTTGGTGCTTGAGAACGCCCAAGCCCACGGCGCCTTCGAAGCGTTCGATGACAGCGCAGTAGATGTCGCTGTATGGCCAGTTTAGCTGCGCCAGCTGCGATGTGTCCTTGCTGGCATCGTGCCTGGACGCCGCCTGCAGCGCTGCCTCGCCCAACGGCAGCAGTGCCGTCAGCAGCGCCTCGTTGTTCATGTGTTTCAACGCCCGCAGCAGCGAGGCGGTGCATATGGCCGGTTGTGTCACATCGCAAACCAGCTCCAGCAGCGTGCGACGCAGCTTGGCCAGCAGCAGCTTCTCGCGCGGCGTGCATTTGCTGCTCTGCAATATTGTGTGCAGGATGAGCGCGTATTGTTCGTGATCCATACACAGTTCGCTCTGGCGTCGCAGCAGGCATTCGACCAGATGGGCCACATGTGGCTCCAGCTGCTTGAGCTCGAGCAGCTGGAGCGTGGCCAGCGCCTGTTGGCGCAACGTTTGCAGCGGCGAATTGCATGCATTGGCGATGCGCAGCACGTGCAACAGGCTGCAGCTGACCACAGCCGGCCGCGGACGCAGCAGCGCCTGCAGCAGCTGGAAGCCGCGCACGCGCAACAGCGCATAGTCCTCGGCCTGGCTGTACAGCTCTGGCAGCGTCTCGTACACATAAAAGTTGCATAGGAAATCCAGTTTGTGTTGCGCCTCGGGCAGCATGTGATTCAGGCAATCCTTGAGCGAGCGCGTCCATTCCCTGCGCTCGACGGGCGCACACTGCTCGGCATAAACCCGACTGCTCAGCGTGTCCAGCAGCAGCAGGCACAGGCGCAGCTCCTCGCTTAACTCTGTCCAGGGCAACGTTGCAAGCTCGCTGAACTTTGTATTCTTGGCCACGGTTTGTAAAAAGTCCGCGTACAGCTGAAGTGGCACATGATTTTTGTTGCCGTTGCCCTGGCTGGCGTTCTCCTTGGCCAGACGAAACTGAAATCCTTGCGTGTAGACGCCCACGCGCTGCAGCATGTGCAGACTCTCTGCGGTGGTCAGCTCACGTTTCGCATAGGCTGTCAGCAGCAGCAGCAGGTGCGTCAGCTGAGACGCCTCACCGCGCAAATAGGCAACGCCGCCATGCTGCTCCACGCTCTCGAGCAGCGCCAGCTGTTGTTTGCCCGCTTGCGTCACATTGGCGATAACATCGAGAAACTTTTTGCGATGCAGACACACATTGAAGTCGCCATGCTCCGTGCTCACCTCCAGCTGCCCCAGAAATGGCAGCTTGCTGGCGAAATTGCTGCTCAATATGATTAGCAAGGCGGCATGCTCCCTGGCGTTCAGGGCATCGCAGGGAAACAGATAGGGCATCAGGGCCAGCAGCAGCAGATTTGTATCGTAATTGTCGCTCACTGCGGCTGTGGTCAGATGCTGTACCACTTGCGGCACCACCGCATCCCATTGCGTCCCGCGCTGCTGCTGAGCACGCTGCAGCAGCTCGCACAGCGTCTGGGCAAAGATTGCGGCGCCCATCATCTCCACAAAGTCAACGGTGGGCAGCGTGAGCAGCGCCGAGACCACAGCCGGGCTATCGTCCTTGATCCGATCGGGCAGGCACTCCTGCAGTAGGCGATAGCTGCGCTCCCGCCGCTTGGCCACTTTCAGGTTCTGCAGCAGCTGCTGCACCGCGCCCAGGCGCCAATCGGCGCTGTAATGGTAGAGCTTCTCATATGCCCGTTTCGCCTTCTCGTCGTTTGTGTTGAGTCGAAAGCCTGCGGAAAAGCGGGAATTAGAGTTCTGCATGGAAGAGTTTGATTCTCATTGAAGCTAAGATTCTGATTTCTTTAGTACAAATGTTAATTTCGTCTGTTAGTACACCAAGGTTTAAGGTGAAATGCTAGACTTATCTTCAAAATTAGGATTATCCTAATCTAACAAGTACAATAAACGATTCTAAAAACATTTCCTGTGAAAGTGGGGCTATTGTTTCCTCCTGTCAGTCTGTTACAAACAATATCACGTTTGCTATAAAGTGCTTTTTAAATAGTACAGGGTATATTTAGCATCCTTACTGAATTCTCAAATGGTATTCTTATGTTATAGTTATTAAATGTTACAGCTCGACTTACCTAAGGCCAGTTTTAAAGCCTTATGTCGATTGCTCGTATTGGATTTGGCACTTAGGGCCGTCTTGACGCTCAAGTCAAAGGCCTCCGGATAGCGACGTTCGAGTTTCTCCAGAAACTCTGTGTACCATGTCTGGAAATTGGTTTTGGCTGGCATCATTTCGTCATCCGAATCAATGATAATAGTATCCTCTTCATCCTCATTCGAATTGGTGTCCATGGGCGTGGATTCATGCTCAGCTTCCACGTCCACAAAAGTGTCCAGGAAACAACTAAGAGAGAGAGAGTAAATTATAAGATTGAGGGATTAGAGAGTAATGAGTTAAGCGACTTTACTTGATAAGCTGCTGAGCGGTGGGCTTGGAGAAGGGCACATCAGCCAACAGATTGTCGAGGAACTGCTGATGTGAAGCTGTGGCGGCATCTCCCTCACGTATGGCCGCCACGGCGCCGCGCATTAGCGGCATGCAAATAGCTTGAATGGCAATGTTCTCCTTGGCCAGCGAGGCCAATGCGGTTATTAACCATTTCTGGCAGACCAGATTCAGCATGGTTTTCGGCGTGAACTGCGGCTTTGCCGCCTGCTGCTTGTCGTGTATCCAGATGAGCAGCAGCAGCGCCGTCGTGTGCAGGCGCTCGAAGGTGCAGTTGGCCACACGCTCGAGCAGCGCATCACAGACCTTTGTCTTGAGCTTGGTGCGCGAGACGAGCTGGGCGACAATCACGTATGAGGCGGCCACATAGTCTACGGTGTCCGAGACAAGGCCCTTGAGCAGCGACTCCAGTATGGTGGCAATGTGCCAGTCCTCGAGCGGCTTGGCCGTTTGCAGGGCGCCCACCACAACGGTGGCATAAAAATTCAGCTGCGCCTGAAGCTGATGAGCACGCGGACCCAGCTCCTTGACCGCTTTGCGTGTGCTGCGGCAAATGAAGCTGAGGAACGCAGGCACGCTCGCTGCACGATTTACTATGGCCGTCTTGGAGAGCGGCACGCCGGGTCGCTGCAGACGACGCAGCCAGAACCAATCCTCGTCCGACTGGCGCAGTCGCATCGTCTGTAGCACCTGCACAAATGTGTTTGTCTCATGGTAGGGCATTATCAGGGCCATCACCTCCTGACGGTTGTACTCGTGCACCTGGAAGCGGCGCAACAGCCACTCAAAGCACATGTGCGCCGGGCGCAGCAGAAAATAAGGCGACAAGAGGCGCAAAAATTTCGCAATTGAAGCATCGAGCAACTTGTTGACATCCGACTGCTCCACGGCGCGCTCCAGCGTGAGTGTGGCCTCATCGAAGAGCGTCAACTGAAACTCCTTGAACGTTGGATTAAAGGCAGTCAACTCCAGCAGGCCGCTCAGCCCGATCTCGTAGATGGCGCGTCTGTCTTTGGTCGCTGCCTCCTTCGGATTGAATAATATTGAGGCACGGCTGCGTGCATCCGCTAACGTAACCGACGTTTGCGGCGCAGCCAAGTTTTGTAGCTGTTGAGCCAATGACGTCGTCATTTTTGTACAGCTGCTTTGCGTGTAAAAACACTTTGGGGAAATAAATGTTAAATAGGCAGCAACTATTCCACACGTGTTTCGGCGGTAAGTAATAAAATTATTATATCGATAACAATATCGAAGTGTGCTGCAGGCTAGTCGATATCTAATGAATACATATCGATACCATGGGTTTGGAAGAAAGTACTTTTTGAATTTAATTGGTGTGTTCAGTACCTAAGTTCAGACATTGAAAAATATATAAACTAGAAAAATAAAGAGGTGTTAAATCAAACATGAAAGAACGAAGTTTTACTGCTGTGATGACATTTAATTGAAGTCAATAATTTCTATCATATATAAATAAAATTCCTCAAGTGTTTCGGCGGTAAGTAATAAAATGATTATATCGATAATAATATGGAAGTGAGTTTCAGGCTAATCGATAGTTTCAACTGTTTCACGACTGCTTATGACGTCACAACTTTTATGCTGTGATGACATTTATCATTAATTATTTCAGTTGGATTTCTCCTGGTTTCCGTTAAAACATTTAAGGTATTTGTTTACAAATTAGTTTATTTTCGTTGTTCGTGTAATGTAAAAAAGTATCTTACTTCTATTTAATCTCACAGAGGTACAAGAATGTTGAGCATACGTTACAGCAAAGAAAATAAAAACTTGATGACATTGAAATGTGAACGCGCGATACTAATGAGATGTGGACGACTATAATACTAGTTAAACATGTAAAAAACCTTGGTACAGTTGTATATTCGATAACTTAAGCTAAGGATTCAAATTGTGTTTGCTGTTGCCTAAAAGTTTAAACGCTTCAGCGAGTTCTTGCGGCTGAGCTTGTAGTCGCAGTTCTGGTTGCGCTTGGGCGGCGTCAATCTCTCGCTAGGCATCATCACTTTGGAGGGCGTGCCCAGCTCGGTGACCAGGCACTTGGCGCCCGGATGCGGCGGGCAGCAGCAGTGCACACAAAAGCGAAATTTGCAAAAAACGCTGGTGCACTCGCCAATGGAATGCGGTGTAGCGGCGGCGGCGGCAGCGGCATCATTCTCGTCCGGCGAGCTTTTCACCTCGTCCAGCGAATAGAAGCGCGTCAGGGCGGCCTTCGGTTCGCTGAAGGAGCACACGTGTGGTAATGTTTGCGAAAGGGCAGCTCTGGGCGGCCCGTGGCGACTCATCTGTGGTGTCTGCTCGGCCGTGCGGCTGTAGAAGACTTTGCTGCACTTGCCGCAGCGCGGGCATTTGATGCGCTGCATCTGCTCCACCAGCAGGCAATTGTCGTCCTTGGGCACGTTCCTATAGTTATCGTGCTTGTTTGGTTTGTGTATGGCATTGGATGGCTGTAATGGCACTAAGTGTTTGTTCAGGGTCTTGGACAGCATGCGTCCACGCTTCACTGTGTGTGTGTTCTCCTTGGTGAGGTTCATCTTGAAGCGATGGTTCTGCAGTCGCTCTGTTGCACGCTGGCTCTTGTAGACCGCCTGGGCCCAGCGCTCCGACACCTTGGTCATGACGTCCAGCGTGTGGGAGCTGACATGGGCCAGTATGCACTCCAGGGCGGGCAGCGTGTTGCTCAGCATGCCAATGATGTCTAGATGCTCGAAGCCGTCGTAATAGCGTGTGCGGCAGATAGGCGCGAGTGCGGGCTGTGGAAACAGCTTCTTCTTGGATTTCTTGGGGCTGCTGTGATGCGCCATGGGCTGGTAATGCGACTTGCGGCGCTTGGTGGCGCACAGCAGCAGCGGCGACTTGCTCGCCTGCCCTCCATCCTCATCCTCGCTCTCCTCCAGCTGCACGCAACTGGCCGCCGGCAGACTCAGCGATTTGTGCCACAGCGTTCTGTTCGCTGTCGAATTGGATTCATTGCAGTTGCTGATGCAACTGCTGCTGTTCGGCGTTTGGAATTGTATCGAATCGTATCTTGACTTTTGCAAGCGTCCCTGTGTTACCGTCGCCTTCGTCGTATTGGATGCATTGCGGCAGTTCTCCGTTTCACTATCACGTTCAAACAAAAATGGCGCCTCCACGGTTGAGTTGTGCAGCACTTTAAAGGACGCGTAGCCCGACTCGTCCATTGCACAGTCCGCATCCAGCGATTTGCTGCCGGAGCACAGTTTCTGTAATACTTTGCGATTGTAGGCGCTCATTTTGAAATGAGAATGCCAATAAATTTGTCGTTTAATTTTCACATTTGTCTTTCCTTTTCTTTTTTTTTTTGGCTGCTTGTTTTTGTCGCAATTGGCGTCGCTGCAAATCTTAGAGTTGTTTAATTAAAATCGCTGCATGCGCATATCGATAGTTAACTCTTATCGATAGCTAGTGGGAATTATATGGGCACTGTACGCAAAGCTAATTGCTATGTTACTCTTTGCGTGCACTGTTGTAAGCTAATATGCATGAAATTTGTAATCAACAGTTGCATTTGAAAAATCTACAAATTCGACCCATGCTGAAACAAATTAATTTTAGAAATTTAGGTTTTAGAATTATTTGTTTGTTTTTCAATGTATACTTTGTGAGCTAAGGCTGTTTTTGTTTTGTGTTGACTAACGGCTATCTCCAGGTACATGCATACTGCATAATTTATATTAAATAGGTAGCATCGATTATATTCCCACTGTTGTCGCCGATTAGGAACAGGACACTCGATGATAATCTGGCCAGGGCATCAATGTCATCAAATTAACAAAATCCCTCAATAATTAATCATTTGCTCTGTTTCAGGTTTCCCTCAAACTGACCGCTGTCTCTGTCTAACACAAATGCCTGCCCGTTCTCTCTCTCTCTCTCTCGCTCTCTCACTCACTTTTGGCTCCATCTGACAAATTTGCCGGCTCAAGTTTTGTGCAAATCATGCCGAGGCATAGATTTCGAATTCATGTGAAAATCATGCTCTGCCCACCGCAATCAACCCCTCGTCGTGTTGATAGTTTCATCAGCTGTCCTTATTTTGTCCTGGTTTTTCACCAACTTCATCCACTTGCTGCAGGACCAGGACAGTGCAAAAGAGACAGCGCAGCTCAGTCGGTTGGGGGCAGGGGCAGGGTCTGGGTGGGCCAAGAGAAAATCAATGAATGATATTTCTTTATGAGGCTCAATTATTTGTTGCGGGGATTTGCTTTTCTTCCATTTCAGTCATCCGGGTGCGTGCCTCATTGTCCTTTTAAATGCTTTGGCAAAATATTTTGGGTATTTGTGCAGCGCCTTTTGTCCTGCCCCATGCAGCCGCAAGTAGCAAGGAGTCGGCGCCTGCGTTAATAATTTATGAATATTTGCTCATTTATTGTTTTGCATTATTTATGCGTTTATCATTATCCCCGACACAGTCCCAGAACAGGGCAAGACGGGCAAAGATTTTTGTTTTGATTTTAATTAAATCGACAGACGCACATCGGCTTAATTTAAAGTCATTTGTCCGTCAAAATCCCTCGTTTCAAAAGTTTTCGGTGGGCGTTTTGGTTAATAATTGCTGCCAGGAGCCGCGCATATTTGGATATAAATTTGTGGTTTATTGGTTAAGTTGTCTAGCCCAACACAAAGTCGGATTTGAGGCCTTTTTTATATGAGTTTTTAATTGCTTCATTACGGGCCTTGATTATATCCATAATACGAATTTCGAATAATTCTTATATGTTCAACTTTTCTTATTGATGTTAATATACACATGCATACATATATATACATACACATGCATACATAAACATACATATGTTACTTACATACATACATTCTATAAACACATGCATTCATACACATGCATACATTCATACATGCATACATGCATACATGCATATATGTATACATGCATACATGCATACATTCATACATGCATACATTCATACTTTCATGCATTCATACATTCATACATTCATACATTCATACATTCATACATTCATACATTCATACATTCATACATGCATACATTCATACATTAATACATTCATACATTCATAGATACATACATACATATACATGCATACACATACATACATACATACAAACACATACATATACATACATTAAAACATACACACACATAATGATAAAATTAATTAGATTGCCAACACACACACACACACACACTTGTTAAATAACACTCATGATCAAAGCGTTAAACCCAGGCGTACTTAAATTCATGAGAATCGCATAGTACGACATTATATGAAATTCCGGTTACTTAAGTCGCAGCGCTACACTAAATTAAGGAAAATGAACAAAGCATTTTTAAAATGATTGAATCGAATAAAAGTCTAACATTTTTCATTTTCTTTTTTCCACCAGTTTTTCTCAATTGTGGGTGGAATTCTTCCATTATATAGGAATTTTATTAAGAATTTGTGAAAAGATATATAAAAAAATTAATGAAAATGGCTCGAATGAAAAATTAAAAAGTTTCTTAAGCCAGTTTTACGCTCATTTTCCACATGTGCGAGTGGAATTGCCCGAAGACCCAGTATTACGTGCACTTACAAGACATAAGGTAATCTTAGCGTTTGGTTGATAACCAATCAGTCAGACTAGTCAGTCAGTCAGTCAGTCAATCAGTCGGTCAGTCAGTCAGTCAGTCAGTCAGTCAGTCAGTCAGTCAGTCAGTCAGTCAATCAGTCAATCAGTCTGGACAAATTGTTTTATGTACGTGATATACATTCGCTTGTAGACATATGTGTGAATTGTTTGCATGCATGTGTGGGATTGATACCGAACTGATTAATTTGCGTTTACGAGCACACCCACAAAAACTGATGAATGTCCGGATAGGTGGGTGGGGGTGGTTAGGTGTGCATGGTAGTTGGCCGAAATGAGCGTCAATATTTGCACACAATCCGTACATATGCTCTAATTATGATCCTTTTTAGCTGTGGGCAGTGCCGTTCCGCATTATGTTGACATCGGTGCCGTGACCCGGACGGAGGCAAACGCACCCCCCTTTGGGAAGGCGCTGATCAAACAGCAATGGACACCAGTTTCAGTTTCCTGTTTCTGGTCTATTTCGAATCAACTAA